GTCCAGGTCTTATTAGTTCCCCAATAGATCCAGTAGGAGTGAGAGAGGCAAGGGCCTGTCAAGGAAGGACAAAGGGGCAGAAATGACAGGACCCCAAAAGGTGAGCAGTAGAGAGGACAAAACAAACCATTTGTTCACCCTAAGCCCTCACAGGCTCCGAGACCCCAACACTGCAAGGAAAGTAGGAACCAGTATCAATAGTGCCTCCAAAACACTGACCCCTGCCCCCCAACACATAGCCACAGCCAAGGGCCCCCTGTGTCTTATGCTAAACAGTTTGTAAGAATTCCCTCATTAATCTTTATAGCAGCTCCGTTAAGGTGGATATTATTATCACATATACCCCACCACACTGCCACATCTACAGGCACACAGAGGTTGACAAAGGTCTCAAAGTCTCACATCAGCAAGTCGCAGTGCCTAGTCTTCAGCTCAGGCCTCTGGCACCTGTAGCATCTGTACCTGACCTCAGTCTGTCTCTCCAAGCCTAGGACACCCCAGAGATAAAAGGGAACTGACAGGCCCAGAGCCCCATAGAGCCAGAAACATTGTGTCGTTCCTGAGGTTGGACACAGATTAGAATCTCTTGAAGAAAAATTGTTGGAGAAGGAGGAGGAAGAGGAGGAAGAGGAGGAAGAGGAGTTAGAAGGAAGAAATGAAGGAATGGACAAAGGGAGAGAGAAAGGGAGCGAAGGAGGTCAGAAGGAAGAAAGGGAAGGAAAGAGAGAGGGAGGGAGGAAGGGAGGGAAGGAAGGAGGGAAATAACCTGAGCCCCCCACCCCAGACCAAATGAATCAAAAACCCAAGGAAAGGGGACAGCTGCTACATTCTTTGGCTGTACCAGATGAGTCTGAAGCATATGTAGATTATGAAGCTGTGTCTTTCTCCCACCTCCCTTTCTAGGCTCCATTTTCTCTCCTCCACCAAGGAGAACAGAAGGCTCAGTCTTCACATAGAAGGAAGGAAGTGAATACAGGTGTTGCATGTGGTTTTTGGCTGCACAGCTTTGTGCTCCCAGTGGATCCTACACCCACTGGAACTGAAGAGGAACTGACAGGGAACTGCTATCTCAGATCCAGTGGCCACTTACCTGAAGTCCCACAAGGTTGGGTGGCTTTTTCCCCTGCTGCTCCTGCATTCCGCTCTTCTTCCCCCTCCCCCACCTCCTGAGATCCCCATTCCTCCCTGCCTCCTACCCTTGAAACTCTTAAGTGTCCCACCCTATGCCCAGCCATTGGCTACTGGCATCTTTATTGATAGATCAAAAACCAACTGGGGACAAGGACCTTTGGCATCTGGACACACAGATTCAAAGTATTAGCATTAATCTCCAACATATAGAAAGAGAAAATAAGATAAAAAGCTGGGTTGGGGTTAATGCTTCCTAAAATCCAAAACATTCCACTTGATGTAAAAAGAAGTTGTAATGATCACTCTTTGCTGTCATCTTGACTGGATTTGAAATCACCTGAGAAACATGTTTCCAGAAAAGTTTAACCAACTGGAAAAGACCTACACTGAGTATGGACGGTACCCATCTTAGATATTTTTCTATTGTTGCAATAAGACACCATGACAAGGCAACTCAGAAAAGTTTATCTGAGGCTTATGGATTCTGATAGTTAGAGTCCATGACTATCATGGCAAAAGCATGGCAGCAGGCCAGCAGGCCAGCAGGCCACCAGGCTGATTGATAGGTAGGCATGACCAGTGACACATCTCTTCCAACAAGGCCATGCCTCCCAATCCTTCCCAAACAGTTCCATCAACTGGAGACCAAGTATTCAAATCTATGAGCTGATGGGGGCCCAGACCAGCGCAGTACCATCCCATGGGCTGGGGCTCCAAAGAGAATGAAAAAGGAGTAACCAAGCTGAATGGCAGCATTGTTCTGTCTGCTTCTTTGCCAGAAGATACAATGTAGCCAACTGTCTCACTCTCCTGTCCCCATGCCTCTCTCAAAGCGTGGTCCAAGTAAAACCTTCAGTTGTTTCTGTCTCAGAAATGGAAGGAGTCATGTGGGATCCTGGTAGTTGTTTGCCCACCCCCTAGGAGCATCTCCAGTGTCTTGTAGGGTTACTGTTGCTATTACAAAACACCATGAGGAAAGCAACTTGAGAAGCAAAGGATTTGTTTGACTTATGTTGATCACTGAACGACTTCAGGACAGGAACTCAAGCAGAGCAGGAACCTGGAAGCAGGAGCTGATGCAGAGGCCATGAGGGAGGCTTGCTCCTGTGGCTTGCTCAACCTACTTTCTTATAGAACCCAGGACCTCCAGCCCAGGGATGGCCCCACCTACGATGAGGTAGCCCCTCCTCCCTCATCAATCACTTCTTAAGAAAATGCCCTACAGATTTGCCTACAGCAGGTCTTCTGGAAGCATTTTCTTAGTTGAGGTTCCCTCCTCTCAGATGACTTTAGCTTGTCAAATTGATACCATAAGCCAGCAAATCCTAGAAGTGAAGTTTCTGGCTCACAGACAATCAATCAAAGAATGGGATGCGCCCAGCTCCAAGCTGCCATTTCTGGAGCCTATCAGGACAATGCTCACTGCTTATCAACTATGCTCATATGAGACTCTTGGAGGAGTTCTCCAAAGGCTGAAGCCTGCTTAGAGTGCTATCTCCTCTTTGGTTTGTAAGCAATAACCTGTAGCCCAGGCTTGCCTGAAGCTTCAATCCACCGCACTTGATTTGGGGTTCCCAAGGTCTACCAGAACCACACAGGCCTTTCTTAATGACACTGTGCCAGGGGTGTGGGCTGCGTAGGCCTTGACTTCCCAGAAATAGATTAGACCCTGAGATCATGAAGGAAAACAGAACAGAGCACAGTCTTCAAGAGTTTACAGTTATTTTCAACACATCCACCCAGTGAACCCTAGAGACAGGAAGCTTTGGGTTTGAGGTGAGTACAGAAGACAGGAAATAGTGGAAATAGCACGAAGCTTCATCCCCTTTTCTTTCAATTTTCTCTCTCTTTCTGTCTCTCTCTTTCTGTCTCTGTCTCTCTGTCTCCTGTCTCTCTGTCTCTCTGTTTCTCTCTCTCTCTCTCTCTCTCTCTCTCTCTCTCTCTCTCTCTCTGTGTGTGTGTGTGTGTGTGTGTGTGTGTGTGTGTGTGTGTGTGTGTGTAAGGATCCTCATCTTACTCAGTGAGGCACAACGCAGAGCTTGCCAGCGTGACTAGTCTGCTAGCTAGTTTGCTCTGAGGATCCCGCCTTTGCCTTCTGAGGCTGAAGTTATGCAGCGAACACACATGCACCAGCACTGACCTAGCTTCCGGGATCTGACTCAGCGTCACCTCTCATGCTTGCATAGCAAGCGCTCTAACCACTGAGCCGTCCTCCCAACTCTGTTAACTTTCATTTCTGCTTTCAAAAATCTCTGTCAGCCTCCACTTCCCTGGGTGCTTACAATTCCAAAGAATCTTGGAATAGTCTCATCTCTCCTTGAATCATGGCAAGAAGAAAATACAGATCTCTGCAGCTCCCCCTCAACACACACACACACACACACACACACACATACATACACACACACGGAAAAGAAAGCTTGCTCAGACAATAAGCAAACACAGTTAATTAAATTGTATAAATCTTTAGAAAGATTTACATATCAGCCTCTCTGAGTGTATCTGCACAACTTCCTTTGCAAGTATTTCTCCTGGCCCAGACTCAGATGGCTTCTGGGAAGAACTGCTGGGGTCACCATCAGGTGAACAGCTGCTCATACTGGCTCTGGAATGACCCAAAGTCACACTTAAGCCGGCTATTAAAAGCCAAGCCCTAACCCGACTTCCAGTCACCCACTCGGCATGGGAGGGGCTCGACAACATCCTCCTGGCACAGGGCTTTCCTGGCTTGGGGCCAGGCTCCCCTGGAGAGGCTCAAAACAGCACAGAACTCACATCCAACCCAGAGGCTGGCTGGATGACGAATGGTGCAGGGTAATTCCTCTGATGGGGCAGACCCTGCCAGAAAACCTGCTGAGCCTCAGGACGTCACCATCTGTACCTGTCCCCATATGGTGCTATGTCTGAGTCCTTGGCCAACGGTGAAATGTCACCCCTTTAGCCTTCACCATGTCAGAGCTGCCTGACTGTGTGTTCAAGGCAGTGACCTGAGCTCTTAAACCCCAGTCATATCAATACCAACTGGTCAAGTCAAACCAAGGCTACCACAAGGATGTCCAGACTCTCCTCCCATAGTCAGGACCCCTCTTCCTGGCCTTTCCTTAGAGACTAATACTTTTCTCTGCTTTCTCACAACCTGGCCCACACTGAGCCCAGTATCCTCATGAGTCAGACCATCCACAGCAGCCTATGCCACTTCATACAGCCTTGTGACCCCTGAGTTTTGCACAGCATACAGACTCACCACATGTCCCCCATCCACACAGTCTTAAACATCATCCAGTCCTTGTCAGAGCAAGCCACATGGGCAACCTCTGGCTAAGGCATTTAGTGGTACACTTGTCAGGTCCTTCCTGTTTTGTGACAAGCTGGGCAGACCCTCCTGGAAAGTCCCACAGGATAAACAGATACTTAGCTCAAGATGTCACAGGGCTGAGGCATGATAGTCTAGAAGACAAGTGATACAATGCCTTCTAATCAAGTCAGTGACAAATAGACCACAGCAGAGTGAGCATCAAGGGGCTCTGAGATGCAGGAGAGCTTCTGGCTTCTCACAGATGTGGAGGCAGGGGCTGTATTCCTGCCACATGTGGACCTAGGCTGCCCTTTTCTGGCTATTTGTCACTATCTTATCTAAAACTAGGTTCAAGATTGCCATGTTTCATAAACCTATCTACCTATCTAGAAAGTTCCCTGTGGTTAAAAAAAAAAAGTAAGATAAGAAAACCTTAGAAAAATAAGCAATTCTTTTATTTCTACTTCAAAATATACTATATACATTGGGGACCCTAATGGGAAAAATAGGCCATGAGGTGACTCCACCATAAAAATAAAGTAAAAAATAATAACTACCCATTTCAGACCCATCTTTAATCCAGCTGCTGGGGACAGGTGGTTCCAGTCATCAGGATGTCAGGGGCCATTCCTCCACCGGTGACCTTGTCATTTCCCCCCAGAGATTCAGGAGCTAAAAGTCCCTGGAGTGTCTTGAGGACTTGCTGGGGCTGATTAGCAGCGAAGCCCTGCAGGCGGGACCCCATTTGCTCCTGCAGGCTCCTGGCCAGCCTGCACACCGCAGTGCGGACGTTCCCACCACGCCCAGGTAGCACGCCGTTGCCAGTCATTTTGTTCAGGAAGTACCAGAGGACTGGAAGGATGTGCCGCTCCACAGCCTGAGGCTTCCGGGGGTACACTGAGGCAACGAGCACTGTCACAAAGAAAGGAGGGAGGGTCATTTGAGCTACACACTCTTTCTTCCCATCTCTGGCATCACCAGCTCTGAATCCAAAGGACAGGCACCCAGCAGGGCTTACTTTCTACCTAAGCACTGGGCTCAAGCCCCATGGTATTCAGAGGCCCATTAAAATGTTTCAGTTTATTCTAACATCAGAAGAGAAATATCAGTTTGTATTTATAACCAGCATAAAGTATAATTTTATTTCTTATGAAAGAAAGGACCGCAAAGCCAACACAAATGAGGTAGGCCCATGACGACCATAGCATGTTCCCTCAGACCCAGTGAGGGGGATGCGGTGGGTCACAATCCCACCTCCACCATCTGCCACTGTGTGAACCTGAGAAAGGCACACCACCTCTCTGATCCTTTTTACATTCATAAAGTAAGGACCACAGGCCTAAGCCACGCTTTCAAAATCCCATGATAAATGAATCATGATAAATGATTAGGATCCCATGATAAATGAATGTCAGGTATCTTAAGCAAGCAGGTAACAAACAGGAGCCAATATTCCATTGCATAAATCCACATTACCACCTGTGAGAGGCAGACCAACACCGAGAGATGCTACACTAGCTATGTGTGACCAGGTCAGAGTGAAGTTATTCTAGACACATACTTGTAACCCTCACTTTGACTATTCAACTATGGAGACAATGGCCCCCAAGAAACTGGAATTTCCCCAGGAATCTTGTGCTGATTGAAGGAAAAGTTGGAGGACTGCTGCCAGCCACAGGAATGGCACTTGTCTCCCTGGTCCCTGCCAGACTGCCCTGCAGTAAGACTGGAGACAATGATCCACATGGTACACACGGTCTGGGGCAACGTGGCTGTGTATACCTCTATTCCAACCTAAACCTCAGGTCAGGACCCCAAGGATGGACTGGGGAAGGCCACTGGGCCTCTTTGTTACTCCTCCCAATGTAGCCACATTAAATAAATCTCCTGTCTCTATTTTTCCTTATAACTTGTTCTGTAGTTGGCTTCTTGGGGATCGGTAGCAGAGACTAGCTTGTCAGGGTACCAGGGTCCTGACTCTGATTTGAGCAACTCCAGGAATAGGGAGAGAAGTTGAGACTTTCCAAAGAAGCAGTCTGGCATATAAAACCACAAGCAAGGAACGAGATCCACAGGGCCTCCCCAGCATCTGGATGTCTACCCTCACAATCAAACAGCAGTCTGTGAGGAGGAATGTATGCAAGCCATCGGGCTCCAAATAGACTCGCCATCCCAGTGAAGAACCCCTGGACCTGGTTATCTCAGAACCCTGTAAACCCAAGAGTACTCTATCATCAGAGTAGGTATCAGGGCTGCAGCCAGCATCAAAGCCTCCCAGGCCTTCATGGCGAGGTTACCCTGACCTGAGGCTGGTCTGGGGCTGCCCACTCTGCCTGGCATCCTGCTCAAATGCTAGTAAAGGTAATCAATGCAAGAATAGTGCTTCATTGATTTATAAGGCCAAGACACCGGAAGGTTCTAGAAGACTATGTGGGCCTACTTTAGTTCAAGACTTGGAACTTCAAGACTCCATGCTAAAAGAATGGACGTGAGCCCATTGTTCAGAGGAGGGAAACAAGACTCAAGCCAAGGACTTTTCTTTCATAAAGGCCTCACTGGAGACAGAGGCCACTTTGCCCTGACTCCAAAGCCTTTACCCACACTGTGCTCCAAACTAAAGGAGCTCCATGTCTCAAATCCTAGTCTGGAGCTTTTAAAAATCCCCAAGTTGTCCTTCCTTCATCAGCTTAACATCTCCCAAAACCTAGCATGTTCCTCTGATTTCTAGAACAGAGGGGAACCAGATGACCTGCATGACCCCTCAGGGAAACTGATAAGCTCCATAGCATTTTCCTGGGATGTAAACATCAGCATGACAACCTCAAGGTTTCTGCATCCCCATCTGGGGTCTCCTGGACCACCACTGGTCACAGTTCTCTCACATATCAAGGTGATCACTGGGAAGGCAGGTTTGCAGCCTATAAGCATCCACTGGGAAGGCTTGTTCTACAAGGAGCTTTGAAGATGTTAAATAGAAAATTCTGGGTCTAAGAAAACAGTTTAGTCAGTAAAGCATGAGAGCCCGAGTTCAGTTCCCCAAAACTCACATTTAAAAACAAACCAACACTTTTAAGAAAACGAGCTAGGCATAAGTGCATACTGATGGACCTATATAATCCCAGCAGTGGGGAAGTAAAGACAAGAGAATCTCTGGGCTGTCTGGTCAGCCAAGCTAGCCAAATTGACAAGCTCCAGGTTCAATGAGAGACACTGTCTCAAAAAGTAAGAAGATCGAGACTGGAAAGCTAGTTCAGTAGTTTATAGCACCGGTTGCTCTTACAGAGGACCCAGGTTCAGTTCCTAGCACACACACATGGGAACTTATAACCACATGTAACTCCAGTTCCAGAAAATCCAATGCCTCTACTGATCTCCCAGGGCTCCTGCTTACATATGGTGTGCAAACACACACTCAGAAATACATACAGAGAATAAGTAAATATGTATTTTTATTAAAAGGTATAGAGTAACTGAGGAAGACACCCTAGGTCAACCTCTGGCCTATGTATGTATACATATGCACGCATACGCGCACTCGCATGTGCATAGACACACACACAAAAACTCTAATGCCACTACGATATGGGCGAACCTTGAAGATGTTGTGCTGAGACAAGCCAGTCTCCCCAAGATAAGTTGTGTAGGAGCCCACCTCCATGAAGTGCCCACAGTAATCCGTCTCACAGAGACTGGAGGCAGAACGGTGGCTGCAGGGGCTGAGGGGGGCAGGAAGTTACTGTTTGATACGGTGAGAGTTTCTGTTTCACAAGATGCAGTGACAGTTGGACAATGTCACAGATACACTGAGACCAAAAAAACTCTAAATGGAGATAGTGGTAAAAACCCATGTTACCTGCATCTTAAAACAATTATAAAGGGGGGAAACAAAACAAAACAGAAAAACCAAATGAAAGAAAGACGAAAATGAGAACTACTTCAAGAACTGTCCCCAACCCCAACCTTAACTCCTAACCCTAACGCTCCCAGTTCAGGAACAAGACACCGGCCTCCACCAATGGGTTTACCTGTCCTTCCCCTAGCAGATCCCCTTCTGTCCCACCATGCTTGCCTACACACCCTTGTGGACCTTGGCTTTCTGAGAAATTAGGTGCTCCCTCTTTGATGAGGTGCCCCCTCTTTGATGAGTGTTGGGAGCCGACCCCTAGCCGAAAGTGGCTATCATCTTTGCAGCCATCTCAGGCCATGTACCCTGACAAGAGACTTGTTTTCAACAGCCCGCAACAGCTGAGCACACTCTGATAAACATTGTTGTTTAGTGCCCCCAGCTGCAAGGCATACGTGGTATCCATGGCTACATGGCAAGTGGCAAAGTGCCTTCAGCTGTGTTCCCCTGCTTGTCCACGAGGGCAAGGCGCGTGGTAAAGCATATAAATACCCAGGATTTCCTTTTAGTAAAGAGAGGCTTGAACAGACTCTCTGTCTTGTCTCCGTTCTTCGCGTCTCTTGCCCTTCCATCTCCTCTCTCTCTCTCTCTCTCTCTCTCTCTCTCTCTCTCTCTCTCT